ATAATAATAATAATAATAATAATAATAATAATAATAATAATAATAATAATGTCTATTTGTTTCAGTGTTTTAGGCCAATGATACCCACTCTGTGACCCTTCAGACCAGGGGGTCCGGGTGTACCAGGAAAACCTCTCGGACCCTAAAACACACGATGTGGAAAGTATTTGTGAGTTAAAATAATGCAGAGATTTTGTCTCCTTAAAGAGCTGAAGAGGCTTACAGAAGATCCAGGAAATCCAACTTCTCCAGAGYTTCCAGGTTTTCCTGGTTCTCCCTGAAAGAAAACAGGTTTTTAAAATTTTAGAAAAGAAATTTAGCTGATTTTTGTTTTATTGCAGGAATTTCTGAAGACATTTATGAAGCTTCTTATYAGGAAGTGTCCCTGAATGACATGCTACAGCTAGCTGCTGCTATTCGCCAAGAATAAACACAACAAAAACAACGACCAAAACTAGTAAAGGTTTATGATTTCCTCTTTGCATGAAGTAGAGTTAAATCTGAATTAAGTTATTTAAATTAGGACTATTTCTACACATTCAAAAATTCAAAGACAAAAAAACTCACATCTTCTCCTGGTTTCCCTGCTGGACCCTCAGGACCCCTTTGTCCAGGTGGACCCTAAAAAACCGAACATTCAGATCAGTTCTTTAAAGATTCATAAAAAACTCAGAGCGTCAGCGACGACCTGAAGGTTTTCATACCATGTGTCCCGGATCACCAACGTCTCCAGGGGGGCCTTGTGGTCCAGCTTGACCCTATAAAAGGACAAACAGGGATATTTTAGAGATGAAGATGAAAAAAATCAAAATAAAGATATTATAYTTTAAACAGCTGCTGACTTACAGGTGATCCGTTGGGCCCGGGGGGTCCTCTTGCTCCGGCTTCTCCCTAAAACAAACAAAACTCTCAATTAAACATTAAAACTCACATTTTATTACAAAAAAAGAATAATTTATGTATAAAACAAATGATGTTTTGTCACTGACGTATGAACTGATTTAGAGTTTAAACAGAACTAATGTGTCAAATCAAAAATAAGCAGCAAATATTTGTCAATTTCAAATTAACGTGTCAAATTATTTCAGACGAACATAAACAAAGACTCAAGAGGGATCCTGAGTACCATTCGTGGTACTTGTACTACAGTTTGAGAASCACTCATAARCCTTGGTTTAAATGAAACTGAAGCATCAGCAACAAAAACAAACTTTTGTAAAAGTTTTACAAGAAACAAAAATTGATATTTCACTTTATAGTCAGGTTTAGCTGTTAATATAACAATTGTTTTTGTGGTTTTGAGGATTTATTTTAATGTTTAAGGTTACAGAAACTGAAATTACATCTTCTGGGTAAAGTTAGCAACAATTCGATGATCCTGTTTATTAGGATATTATAACTTTATTAGGATATTATAACTTTATTAGGATATTATAACTTTATTAGGATATTATAACTTTATTAGGATATTA